GGTGCCTTTGAATTTCAACTGCAAGGGTAGGGGTATTTTGGAATTGTGAAGTTGTTTGAAGTATAGTTATAGATTGGGTACTACTTAGGGTAGTATGTATTTTCCTGTATTTACCAAAATGTCCTTATATCTTGTCAGATGCAGTGGTGATTTGTTAGTGTGAGATTATTTGATCGCCTTTTCAATAGTGGGTACAAGTCAAAATAGCTTTTGTGTTAGTGTAATTGCTTAAACGTTCTTGCAGAGACATTGATTAGCTTGTTTTAATTCAGTTATAATATCAATTATTACCCTTACTTTACTATTACAACTTGAAGACATTCAAATTCCGTTTTCATCTCAATTAAAGCCAGAACGATGTAGTTTGCTAAGTAATTTATTTCTGAGCATCAGTTTTAGCTTCATTTCTCCTTATGTATCCTTATCAATGTGTGTCCCTGTATTTCATATAACATGAATGTATAGCATATTTATGAGTAAGAGAAATGTTAATATTTAATTAATAAAAATCAGTACAAAATTTATATTGAATGCCTATAATCACAGGAACAACCAACTGGTTCAACTTCTTCTTATTCAGTGCCATCTTCATAGCACCAATGTTCAGTAGCTTATCAATTAGAATTTTACTTCTCGTTCATCAGTTGCTAAAACATGTTTCCTAACATTATTAGAAGTTGTTTCTTTGCTGCCTCTTTTTGCATTTCATTCTTTTCACTCTAATACGCAATTATTGACGTGACTAATTCAGGTGCACAATTTCTATCTATGGCTTTTAATTCCAATTTAGGTGAGCAATTTATTCTAACTTTAGCCTCATGGTTTTCCTGACTTCAAATGCAAATGTCTAATTAATTAAGTTTTGCTCCAAAGTTCATACTTACTATTTCCTTAGTTCTCACACAACTATTCTCATCTTCATTTAAACGAAGAACAATAACTGCTGACTTACTCGAGTTGTTGAAAATTCAACATCTCACTTACAATTACAGCACTGTTATTCAAGTGATTGAGAGATAAAAGCCACACTACTCAAAAGATGGAATATCGAAAATTGTTCTTCATTAATGGTCAAACAATGTACAAAACACAAATCATACAACATAAATTCTATGTTTTCCTACTTCTGCTTCAATGACTATTACCACAATGGTTGCCATGTATCATTTCACTTTATGTAAATTTACTAGTTTAAAGAGTCATTCGCAGTATTTAAACAATCAATTTCTAAATTACATGCATCATCTACACCTTAAATGATATTTTCTCCATTTCTCATTTCTTCCATGGTATGATCATATCTTTCTTTTCCCTTTTCTTTTGCGTCAGTCTTTCCTTATAAACCAAAACCACTTTCATAAAAAAAAAAAAAAATTTATCTAACGTTTTGTTCTAATACTTTTTTGCTGTACAGTGATAAAATGTTGGAACACTAATTTATGTTGTACATATATAATTTTTCAACAAATTCTTCAAAACTTATAAAAGGTACTATATTTCCAATGCAAAAGTTCAACCTATTTTCATCACAAATTCTACAAACAAAAATAAATATTCATGGATTATGAATAACACGACTCCTATCTAATAATTGCAAGAAATTGATAGGCAACTCGTTTCAGATATCTTTATCTTCCACCTTGACAGAAATTATAAAAGGAACGATTTAAATTTTCTTTCAAAAAACTAATAAGTAAGTATGCCTCTTAAATAACACTAACAAAGCATTCATATGTTCAAACCTTCCTGCAATTACTATTCATATTCAACCATAACCTATAAAAGTAGATCCACATACCAGACAAGTCATCAGTGTTGATCAACAGTTCGACTAATATCTGCCCAAATACTAAAAATACATTATAAATATATTTTCATTAACAATGTTATGTAGCTGTCAACCAATGGTACTAACTTTTTGGTATGAAGATACCTATGATGAAAGCCAACTAATGGCTTACAAATATTAAAAAGGAGCTATTAACTCAAAAATGATTTCTGATACTATATTCAATAATTTTGTAACTCTTAACCAATCTACAAGATAATAGAGACAATACAAGGATAGCCACTACTATAACAAACTATTACCATTCGCAATAAAAAGCTAAACGCAACGGACTACTAGTTGAACTTCATGTAAATATTAATACCTTCTAGGGAATGAAACTTATGAATTCTGCTTTTACCTAATCTTCCATTCTTATCAAGTTTAATATATGGTTATTCTTAATTTTTTTCATGATTCTCTTTTTCTGATTACAAATTAGTCTTCCATGCTATTACATCAAATAAAAATTACTACTATCTTAAACCATAGGCACCAAACTCCCACACAACCTAGTAATATTTTACAATTATATACCACCCTTAGAATTAAAAGATTCCTTATACTATATAAGAATGAGCTATGGTCAAAGAGGGGTTTTGAATTTCAATCGCGCAGATAGGGGCATTTTGGGAATATGGAATGATGTGTCACTTTTTTAAAACTATTGGTACAACTCATGCTAGCATTTGTTTAGGTATGTTTATAGAAATGACCTCATAATTGTACATTTAAAGTTTGTATTTATGGAGACATCTGTGTATTTTTGGAATGGGGGATTATTTTGCAATTGTTTGTGCATTGGGCACAACTCATATAAGCGTATGTATTGGTGTAATTACTGAAATTGTGTTATAATGCAATTAAAATAAGGAGACGTTGCTGATAACTAACCGTTTAGGGATATTCAATTGTCTAAAACAACTAACAATTATACCAACATATGAGTTCCCATGTCTGAAACCCATGTCTTTGAAACAGCTTCCACACCAGCAATTAAATAGCCAAAAACGTGGGCTTGTTGATGAATTAATGTCTGAGCATCGGTTATGGTTCTTCCAATGCCTCCTCCTTCACATTCTTCCATTTTTCCCCTTTCGGCTTCCAGGATTAGGCTATTTTTGCTGCCTTTAAACTCAACATTTTAGAATGGTCTTCACCCGAAGTTATTCGTGGTGGTTCAACTTGAGGTGAGTTTTGTTCCATAGTTTTATTATTTATGTGGGTGATTCTTGGGTTAGCATTGGATGCCGTTGGAATATTGGATCTAAATTACGCAACCAAAGGCTCAAATTTTACAAAGAACCATAACTAATTCGAATCTTTGTTGCCAGTTTACTTGCTTTTTGGGTTTCTTTTTCATTGTTCATCTTAATTAGCTTCCTCTTTGTGCTTCCTGTGTAATTTGACTTGTGTGCCTATGATGTGATAGGAAAAGAACAATACTAATGAATAGTAGCTACAGAGGCTACCAAGAGAAAAAGACCGAACACCGAAGAATAGTGAATTCCTAGATTGGAGCCAATGACATATCAAAGAGGAAAATATACAACTATATAGTATATTAACATATTATAACACACTATATAGGTTGTGATAGAAAATTAATCATGCACGTCAACCTATAGTGGTCATAAGTTCTTCTTTTTGTTCGGTTTGTGTGCTTCGATTCATAGTAATGGATAGTAATAGTAGTTTGGCATAAGGTGTCTGTTGAGTGTACAAGGGTTTCTTCCTTGTAACGGGCCTATGGATGATTGTTGTTGGGGTAAAGTATTTTACTATTACTGTCTCCATAGTTATTAAATCCGATCCGTCCCGATGGTTGAACCAGTCAAATCGATGAACCCACACATGGAACCGGACCTGTTTAGCGACTAGAGTTGCAGATGGCTCACTTTGAACCGTTTGATTCGGACGGTCAAACCGGTAACTCGGTAAACTCGGCAGGTTTTGAAAATTTTTCTAAAATTACTTTTTTACCCAATTTTTTTAATTTGACCTGCCACACTAGCATGGGTATTGTCATCTTTTTGTCAATTAGATGAGAAAAATTGAAAAGGGGTTCAGGAATTAGTGTTTATTTCTCTCTTTGACACTTAGATTTATCATTTATGTTTGTATGTAATATCAATATGAATTCATAAACTAAAAAACATAAAACTAAAAAACATGTATGGGTATAGTTTATGTGTGTGAACTGTGAAACATAAAGAGGTTATGACTTGTTAACATTTAAGAATTTATGTACTTATATTATAATTTATATGTTTATTTAATTATATTATATATATTTTTATTATGTAGTGTGACCCAACGATTCAATCAGTAATCCACCGGTTGAACCACTGACTCGCCAGTCCAATCCTTTACCAACCTGATCCTTATGGCAGGTTGATGCCCGAGTTGGTTTCAATAACTCTAACTATCTCTAAATAAGCAGACACACTTAATGTCCTCTAAACTACTCTATTATCTATGTATTTCCTGCTACTCATATTAAGTAGGATTCGGTTAATATGCATTATTATCAGCAACAATTTTATTAATATTACTTAATGCGTTGTTATCCTACTCTTATCTTCATTCATTTGTTCACCTTGCAAAAAATATTGAATGCACATAACTCTTTATTAATCTAAGTTGCCTATTATTTTTTACCTATTGAATAATTCTTTTTAGTCACAGGCACCAAACACCCGCGCATCCCCCTATTAAGTTTCTTATACAAACTAAGTTAAATTACAAGTGTCACTCTTTTAATTCCTCCATCATTTAGATGTTTTTAAGTTGCTAATTTTTTTTTCATGTAAAAAATTACAGCATCAAATTTCTCCTTTAAGTTTTTGGAAATAATTAAACTACTTTTTATGACATTCTTTTTGTATTTGCAGTAATCGTATTTTTCTTCATTACAGTTACATTTTCAAAATGATATATTTTTCATACATTTCTACACCACTTGAATACTTCCACGACAGTTACGGTTGCTTGATTGGAAATTGTATGAAAAAAAAAAGAGCAAATTTCCATCCCAGTAGAATTCAAATCAAGTGTACACATTTTGCCATGCTTGCCCGTCTACTGAGGTTGGGCTTAGTTAACCATAAATGGGCTTGACTACTCCAAAATTACGCAAGGTAGCCAGCAGGCCTACAACACGACCAATCCCAAAGCCCACAATCTCCTCTCTTTCTTCCTCTCTCAGCTAGCTCCCCTGTAATTTCCTATAGAACCTGAAACCCTAAATACTGCAGACTTTCCCAATCTTGGAAGCCCCAGAAAACCTTCCTACTTGTTTCTTGATTCACAATCATGTTCCTTAATCCAGAGGAAAAGAACAGCCGATACAACAAAACACTGAAGTCCAGAGTTACCCCAATTCTTCATAGGAAAGAGCCCAACAGACAATCTCTGCATCCCTTTCTAAAGAAACCTTTTTGCCTTGTTCTTCTGTATACTTATATCTCTAGCTCAAAATTTGCTGTCTTTTCTTGCTTTCGTTTTATTGGGTTTTCTTCAATTCGAGGATTATTTTAAGAAAACTGTCAAAAGAGTTAACTTTTTGCTGCTTGTACCTGTTTCTTCAAGTTCTACAACTCGGTTTTTGTAGGTTTGTTGTTCGCATAGGTTTTGAATTTTCGGTGTAATTAGGGTGACCTCTGTAATTGTTTATTCTTGATAGTTTGTGGGATTACTAGGGTAGCACAATGGGTGATTTTGACCGTACGAAAATACGAAACATATGCATTCTTGCCCATGTGGATCATGGGAAGACCACACTGGCTGACCACCTAATTGCCTCTTATGGAGGTGGGGTGCTCCACCCTAAGCAGGCGGGTAGGCTTAGATATATGGATTATTTAGATGAGGAACAGAGGCGCGCTATAACAATGAAGAGCTCTTCTATAGCTCTTCAGTATGAGGACCATTCGATAAATCTTATAGATTCCCCGGGTCATATGGATTTTTGTAGTGAGGTATCTACTGCTGCTAGGTTGAGTGATGGGGCTTTGGTGTTAGTGGATGCTGTTGAGGGCGTTCATATTCAGACTCATGCTGTCTTGCGTCAAGCTTGGATTGAGAAGCTTACGCCGTGTTTGGTTTTGAATAAGATTGATAGGTTGATTTCTGAATTGAGATTGAGTCCTATGGAAGCGTATACTCGGCTGCAGAGGATTGTACATGAGGTTAATGGGATTGTGAGTGCATATAAGTCTGAAAAGTATTTGTCAGATGTTGATTCACTTCTTTCGGTACCTTCTGGGGATGTTGGTGATGATAACTTTGAGTTCGTAGAAGACGATGAAGAGGACACTTTTCAACCTCAGAAGGGAAATGTTGCATTTGTTTGTGCATTGGATGGGTGGGGGTTTAGCATTCTGGATTTTGCTGAGTTCTATGCTTCCAAACTTGGGGCTAGCTCCGCTGCACTGCAGAGAGCATTGTGGGGTCCTCGGTATTTCAATGCAAAGACAAAGATGATTGTTGGCAAAAAGGGTATGAGTTCTGGATCTAAGGCAAGGCCCATGTTTGTTCAGTTTGTTTTGGAGCCACTTTGGCAAGTATATCAGGCTGCTTTAGATGAGGATGGTGATAGAGGAGTTCTTGAGAAAGTTATCAAGTCCTTCAATTTGTTGATACCTCCACGTGAACTTCAGAACAAGGATCCAAAGGCTGTTCTTCAGTCTGTGATGAGCCGTTGGCTCCCATTGTCGGACAGGATATTGGCAATGGTGGTTAAGCATATGCCTGACCCTATTACTGCTCAGTCTTTCCGGATATCTCGCTTGCTTCCTAAGAGGGAGACCTTGGACAATGCTGGCAGCTCTGAGGTGCTTGCTGAAGCAGAGGTTGTGAGGAAATCCGTGGAGGCTTGCAATTCCAGCCCTACTGCACCTTGTGTTGCTTTTGTTTCCAAGATGTTTGCAGTGCCATTAAAAATGCTTCCTCGAGGAGAGGATCTGCGTAATTATGCAGATGACGCTAGTGGTGAATCAGAAGAATGCTTCCTTGCATTTGCGAGGGTCTTTAGTGGAGTTCTACATGCAGGACAGAGGATTTTTGTGCTTTCAGCTTTGTATGATCCATTAAAGGGGGAACAATGCAGAAGCATGTGCAGGAAGCTGAGCTGCAGTCTATTTATCTGATGATGGGTCAGGGGTTGAGACCTGTTGCCTCTGCAAAGGCAGGGAATATCATTGCCATTAGAGGTCTTGGCCAGAATATACTGAAAAGTGCAACTCTGTCATCCACAAAGAACTGTTGGCCTCTCTCAAGCATGGTTTTTCAAGTTGCACCCACTTTGAAAGTTGCAATTGAGCCTTCTGATCCTGCTGATATGGGCGCACTGATGAAAGGTCTAAGGCTTTTGAATCGTGCAGACCCATTTGTTGAGGTGGCAGTGTCTGCTAGAGGTGAACACGTGCTAGCTGCTGCAGGTGAGGTTCATCTCGAAAGATGCATTAAAGATTTGAAGGAGAGATTTGCAAAAGTAAGCTTGGAAGTCTCTCCCCCTCTTGTCATACAAAGAGACGATTGAAGGCGAGTTAAGCAATCCATTAGATAATCTGAAGCAATTGAGTGGCAGCTCTGAAGTTATTGAGAAAACTACCCCAAATGGAAGGTGTGTAGTTCGAGTGAAGGTGATGAAACTTCCAACTATGTTAACGAAGCTGCTTGATGAGAGTTCTGAGCTTATTGGGGATATTATAGGAGGTAAATCTGGTCAAGATTGCAAAAGCTTGGAAACATCGAGAGGTAGCATTGTGGATGATGAAATCCAATTGAAGCACTGAAGAAACGCATTATTGATGCTGTTGAAAGTGATTATACTAATGGAGATTCAGAGGCACAAAGAACGATCTGAGAAATGTAGAACACGGTGGCAAAAACTCTTTAATAGGATCTGGGCTTTGGGGCCTAGACAGGTGGGTCCTAATCTTCTGTTGACTCCAGATACAAAGGGAAAGTTTGACGATTCTCCTGTTTTAATTAGGGGACACCCTTATGTCTCTGTTAGATTGGGATTCCTCGATGGCTCTGATTTGAGTGGTGAATCAGCTGATACATCAGGAGTAACAGATCAAACTTTATGGCGAGAAGCAGAGAGTCTCGAGAGCAGTGTTGTGTCTGGATTCCAATTTGCTACAGCATCTGGCCCATTGTGTGAAGAACCTATGTGGGGTTTGGCATTTGTAGTTGAGGTTTATATATCTCCACTGGCTGAGCAACCAATTGAGGCAGATGCTTCTGCTCCACAGTCAGAGCAGTATGGCATCTTTGCTGGACAGGTTATGACAGCTGTTAAGGATGCTTGCAGGGCGCTTTACTTCAAAGAAAACCTAGGCTTGTGGAAGCAATGTATTTTTGTGAGTTAAACACACCAACCGAGCATTTGGGTTCCATGTATGCAGTGCTTTCAAGGAGGCGCGCCCGAGTTGTCAAGGAAGAAATGCAGGAAGGGTCACCTCTATTTACTGTACATGCATATGTTCCTGTTGCTGAAAGTTTTGGATTTGCCGATGAGCTGAGGAGATGGACTTCTGGTGCTGCAAGTGCTCTACTTGTCCTTAGTCACTGGGAAACACTTCCAGAGGATCCTTTCTTTGTACCCAAGACAGAAGAAGAGAGAGAAGAGTTTGGAGATGGTTCGAGCATGCCACACAATACAGCAAGGAAACTCATTGATGCTGTGAGACGCAGGAAGGGTCTTCCTGTGGAAGAAAAAGTGGTTCAGCATGCAACAAAGCAGAGAACATTGGCTCGTAAGGTATAGCAGCCTCTTATGGTGCAATCTTAGTTGACCTTTGCAACTCTTGTAATACATACATCGCCTCATACACATTGTGGTCAAAAGAATGTAAGGTTGTTGTGAGAATAGTAAATTTTTTCCCCCAGAAGAAGGCTGTAAGGTATAGCTTATTGATGATATCTGTAAGGTGTATCTTGTGGAGGAAAATTGAGAAGATATGAGAAATATTAATTGTTTTCTATTAAAGGTACGAGTATAATATATGAGAAATTGGCTTGCTAATGATTAGAGGTGTCAAAATGGGTGACTTGGACGGGTTTGGGTTGGGTAAAATGGGTAATGGGTATAAGTGAGTCAACTCATTTATATCCATTTAATTAGATAGATAGGTATAAATGAGTAAGTTAAAAAATGAATTGGGTAACCCAATTACCCATTTATAACTCATTTATTTTAACTTTTTGCAAACTCATTTAAATTCATTTTTGCAAACTAAGTTATCAATTTATACCACTCTTTGTACCCATCATTAGTTTTAAATATTTACTTATAATGTTCAATAAACTTAATTACCAATTTTTTTCATTTATACTTTATGTTACAAAATTACCTATTATTTAATAATTGAATAATACGAATATAAAAATTTGAATTAAGTACTATAAAAATTAATATAAAAACTTAATCCAAAAATTTTGAACCCCTAACATTTTTTCATATATAAATTTAAAATTTCATTTTATAAAGATAAGAAAATAGGCTAAAATTTATCATAAATTGGTAATACTAAAAAATGAGCAAGTTAACAAACTAAGAAAAAATAAAATAATAAGATAAAACCAACAAATAATAATAATAATAATAATGTTAACATCATGACAAAATGAAAATTTTGAAAAAAAAAAAAAAAAAGGTAGGGGAAAAGAAGAGATTTGGGGAAGAGAATTTTAAATGGGTTAATTGGGTTTGATGGGTTACCCAATAATACTCATTTAATAAATGGATATTATTGGATAACCCATTTATATCCATATACAAAAATTTAAAGGCCTGTTTGGATTGCGGTTTTTCTTCGAAAAATTACGTCGTTTTCCGTGATCACATTTTTCTATTACCTTTTTTCCTCACATATATCAAATCGCTACAGTAATTTTTTCATGAAAAATCATGAAAAATACAATCCAAACACAACCTACCCATCTATTTATGGAGGGTATGGGTAAATCTAATTAAATGGGTTGATTTGCCACCTCTACTAATGATAAGACTTCGCATTGAGCTATGCTGCAGCTTATGTGTTGTAGTCCTATAAAAACATAATAACAAAGCCAGTTAATAAATACCTTAATGAGCTTTACGCTCCTGATATGGCTGGAATGTTAACAAACTCAAGAATCTGGTGCATGATAAGTTCCTGCAGCAGGTTACTTACACTCACCTTTCTCATTTCTGCTTTTGCTGAGACACTAATCTGGAGTCTTACTGCTGACAGTGATTGCGTACAACTGTTGCATTGTATACGAGCTTTGAACCAGAAGGTAACTCCTTTCTTCCAGATAATGATGTGCTCAAGTGCTAATGGTTATATTGTTTTCAAAAGGTTCTTGTATCGAATTCTGCCAGACATGAATTATAATGCTGTAATTAGTTCGTGTATAAGAAACTGCAGTCCTAAGGATGTTTACCAAAAACATCATCATTTAATTCCTTTCTGGTATTTCATTTGTCCATCTGGGAAAGTTAACTGTCATGTTACTGCTAAAGATCAAAATTGTTTTGCACTGCCTTTAGGGATAATTTTCAGAAACCTCCCTGAGGTTTATGACAGTTTCACTGCACTCTGCTGAGGTTTTCAAAATATCTTTAACCTCCCTTAAGACTAATATTCTTTGTAACAAATTAGCCCAATGCAATAAAATCAACAATAAAAAATGATTTCAAGAGTAAGAAGAATATTTCATACCAAAAATATCCCTTAACTTATTACTAGTTGGTTGACTTAGAATCAAAAGGAAGTATTAGTTAAAAATAGATAATAAAGGCTAAACTCTAGCATGACTGTAATAGAATTTAGTAACAATGACTATTTTTTATAGTACTACATAAAATAGCAAAATCAAAGTATTTGAGAGGAAAACTTGTTATTTGGAATCGAGATTTACGCAAAACATTCCTAAACTCTTTAGTATCAAAATTTGAAAGATTTTGAAAAGGAATTGAACAAGACAAAGTATGGCCTTTTCAAGAAAAAAAAAATCACAATAGATGGCTAATGTTAAAAAATATAGAATATACTAAAATATGATTTTTTTGAATTATTTCTTTAATTAAAAAAAAAACCAACTCTCAAGCAACATTTGGATTAATAAAAGAGTATGATTTTAATGTCAAAAGCAAATAAATCAAAGTAGAAAAATTTTTTTCTAACCATCTTGTTTGGATTACGTATACAAAGAAAAGAAAGAAACATTAAAGAAAGGAAGAATAGATTTATGTGCAGTTACAATTTTATCCATAACGTAATAAAATCTAATTGTAACTATATTTTAATACTTACCCTCTTTTTGTGTATTTTCATATTCATCTTGTTATTCTTATGAAAAATTTATGAAATAATAATATCTAAATAGTAATTTTAATCCTTTTTTAGGAGAAAGAAATTGCAAGAACTACTAAAATATAGAAAAAGAATTTTAAAATGTTACCAATTATTGTTATAAAATTTAGTATTCAAGATTTTCAAAAATTTTTTATATTCAAAATCATGGTTAATTTAGTACAAGTGACTAAATTGTTTCTCTCCGTATAAATACATAGTATTTCCTAAGTTGTAAGGATAATAAAGTCATTTGACTACCCATGAGGTAAACATTGCACTCCAAATAGTTTATAGGGGGTAAGTGATATTTCTAAAACTTTAGCAGAAGATAGTGAAATTGTAAAAAGCCTCAAGGGAGGTTTTTGAAATTATCCCTTGCCTTTATATGCTATTCCGTTTGATGTGATTATAGTAGTGGGATAATATCATAAACCTATCCTGAAGTTTCTCTTGATATCACCTAGCACTTTCAAAGTATTAAAAATATTACTTACCTTTCTTACTTTTGTTGTTAATGTAACAAAACTTTTAAAAGTTCTAAACTACCCTTTCACTTGCTAAATCAAAATATTCCTAAATCACTTTGTTCACTTCAAGAAAATCATCACCTCAAAAATAATTTCTTGCAGTAGTACCACATCATAATACTAAACCCCATAAAAATATAAATTTTAAAAATAGAAAAGATATTTGAAAAGAAATACACTTGCATCAATTCCACTCTATATTCAACCCTTGTCCAAACCGTTAAATTGTATTGGTCATTATAAAAATCAACTCAACATAAGCAATATCACACTTTATCACAATCACAAAAAATAAAAGATAAACAAAATTCAATTTATTATAATTTACAAATAAAATACTGCATAATCATCCAAAACATAATAAGAGAGAATAATAAAAAAAAGAAAAATAACAAAGCAACTTTCGTTTCTCTTTTTTAAATTTTTGAGTCCCATTTATTTGATATGTGAATTATGTGTTAAGTGAGATTTAATATAGTCTTTTTATAATTATTAGGGAAGGTAAGTAATATTTCTAAAACTTTAAGAGTGTCAATTGATATTAAGAGAAACCTCAAGGAAGGCTCTGATATTATCCCTATAGTAGTGCACAATTCGCACAAGTCAGGGTAACTTCAGATCGGGCAATACATTACAATAAGCATGGGGTGAGACGATCCATATTAACAAAAAAAAAAAAGAGCAGGTTTGCAAATCATGCAGTCAGGAAACTGCATTAACAACAAAGAATTATCAAATCATTCAACACTCATTTAAGTAATGAATTCAACTCCATAACTGACATCCTTATGCTATGAAGATCCTCCTCAATCTTGTCAGACACAAAGCAGGAATGGCAAGAAATTGCCTCCAACAACTGTGATTTTCTCTCCGTTGCTACTGCTTTTGCTCTCATTAAGTCCTCTATTTTACTTGATTCTGACTGCACTTCTTCATCCAAGATCCTCATTTCTTCCTCTTTTAGTTCAGTTTCAAACATATGTTGATGATACTCGAGTATCATGTTCTCAAATTCATCCCTTCCGTTTTTCTTTCATCTCTAAAAGCATCTCTTTTCTTTAATGATGCTCTGAAGCTTGTGACCCATCTCTTCCACTGACTGCAGAGTATTTTCTATCTCATTACTGACAACTTGTATGTCAACCTCCACCTTCCCTAGTTTATTGTTCATATGCTCAATTTCCTTTCTCGCGAGCCCAAGTTTTTCCGCGAGTCTGCTTTACTTGATTTTGCAATTTTGTCTTCTCTTCCTCGACTTCAAAAGCTCAGTTGCTTTACCACTCAGATGCCAACTCCTCTGTGAGTGACGGGCGTCTGTCTTCTCAAATTATCTATGGCAAAGAGAACCTTATCATTCTCTAGTCTCCGTGTTTCTTCCTCCACTTTTGACTTCAGGTCAGCCAGGTAGTTTTGCATTTCAATTTCAGACTCTTTTATTTTTACCTGTGCATCCATCATTTGATCTTTAGACGCTTGCAGACGGGCCAATTCTTGTTTCTTCTGGTTTAGATGCATCGATGAAGCACTCAACTTCTCTCTTGCTTGATCTTCACGTAGCTCAAATATCTAATTGATGAAGAGAAGCTCGACAAAGAGTATCTCAGTGCTGCCAACTTCTTGTCAAGAATGACTCTCCTCTCATGAATCTCTGTAGAACAAACCTTCGATAATGCATACTCTTGTTGTTTCACCTGTAGGCCATTTTCTAGCCTTCCAATTTCTTGTGATAACTGATCAACCTCAAGGATTGCTCTCTCAAGCGTACCAAATATACTCAAACTTTGTGCAGAGTCTGAAATCTTCTCTTGTGCTTCAACAAGCTTCTTTCTAAACAAAACTCACATCTTCTGACAAGCAAATTGCTGCTGACCTGTCATCTATTTTTGGACTGCCACCAGATTTCTGATGCTCAAACCGGTTTTGTATTCAGATGAACCAGCTTCATTCGGAAGTAGGCCCCTCTTACAGATTCAGATTCATTTAGTATGACAGTTTCAACTTTATGCTGTGCACTTTGCCTGAAACTTCATTCTCTGCAAGATCTGCTATCTCAGAACAAGTCAAATCTTCAGATCTGTCATTGTCCTGACTACTAACAGAACATTCACTGGCATCCTGCA